GTTACTCCGGCTCTTGTCAGCTCTTCCTCCCATAAGCTTAAAGGCTGTGTTCCACCACAAAAGCTCCCTTAACGCATCGTAAGCACTCCAAAAGCAGGTGACGTCATGGCAAAAGTGTGACATGTAACTCATACCTATACCATACCATAACTCATACCTATCAATTGGAATACAATTTGACTTGCCCGCCGCAATGTAAGTCACACTTAACGTCCAGCCGCGTATCATACCTTTCATTGTCGATATTCATGTTTACAAAAACCAGTAGTCGAATACCCACCGCTATTCGTTAACAAATATAAAAATAAGTACTAAATAGGCATATTTGACCTAAATAATTGTCAAAAAGTGTGACAGATTCAGCAAAAGTATGGCGTTAGCGGGTTGGTGGTTTACTGCCTAAGGCCATGCACGCGCGTCCGACGCACGTGAAAAGGCATTGTGAACAAACAATTACACCCATGTCAACGCCCCCCTTTTAACGTCCTGAATAAGTCACTACTTAGGTTGAGCTTTGCTCTGTCCGTTGGGGATAACTATACTTCTTAGAGGCATAGCTGGTTAACGCTATTCACGTGTTGGGGCCAAGTACTTAACAGCATCGCCCACTCGGATATGAGAAGGTCTTCTTACACAATCAGAAATATTAACAGATTATTGTACTGATGTAAGCTTTAGAAAGAGTACGCAAGCAGCGTAAGATGTGCTGGATAATGACATGTTTTACTGAAGGCTGACCTATCTTTGCAATAAGTGGCACTTCCGGTTAAAAGGTTATCATTTTTTCCTCTGTGGTGTGATACAAGATCGCGTAGCTGAAAAAAGATATTATTAAAAACACTTGAATGGATGTTTTTCACGATTCAACACGTGAAAAATTTCAGCTGAGTTACACACAAAGGTGTACCTTGCGTCTCCTCGCAAAATGGCCCCGAGGGCTTAGACGGATACGGAACCGACTGCTGAATGCTGATGATTTCTGCCCGAAGTAGAGGCGGCATTGTCCCAGCGGGTTCCCAATGTGTGCAAGAGGCCTCTGACTGACATTCGGGGGCCTCGGTCCTGCGAGCCGGAGTCCTTAAGGTGACCAAGAGCTATTGCCAAAGGACCTTTGCGGCTTTAGACCTACCAATCTGGCCCTTGATCGTCGGTCTGAAGAGCTCTTCGGGTTTTCTTAGGGGCTCCTCGAACATTGCCCCTGGGCAACTCGGAGACGCTTACGGACACAGGACCCCTGCTAGGCACCGTGGATCCCTGACAGACACAGATACCCCTCATTGACTCAGGGGGCTTGGGTCCAAGCCAATGTAAGCCGCCGATCCCAGCCTTGTCACTGCTTCGGAAACAGAGTTTACAATGCGCGGTACTGATGATGTCTGACCGACAAAGAGGCCCTCATCGAATCAGGGTGCTCACAGTCGGCACAAAGGCTCCCCCATCTGACCAGCTTTTCAGGATCTGGCCCTGTGGGCTGGCACCCCAAATACGGCCTCCGGCAAGACCTTCGCTCTTCGGGCCATCAAAATAAGGACGTAAAAGGGGATGGGATCGTGTCCTCTGTGCTCCTCTGCCTGTTCCAGAGGCTATACGCAATCTAAAAATGATCATTGATAGCCTGGTCTAATCTTGACCCTGGTCTCAGACGCGACAAAGGCCTTCGTCAAGCTTGCTTAGAAATGCAAGGGCTATCTAGCACCATTCCATTCCAACCATAATCAATCCTAAAATGACAGGGCCTGGTGGCATTCTCTACCAACTCTGCTGGCGCCTAGAGCTGTTTGCGGGCGTTAAGGCCGGGATGTATCTAGAGGTTGATTTAACAGCGATTGGCAGTTGGAGAGAAATCCCAAATGTCGTGCCTAGTTACAGAGAGGTACCGAAAATCGAGGCCGGAGAGATTGATGGATGCCCTCTAAACACGCTTCTGTGGGGTCATGACCTCGCCGGGTGCCCATGGTTTTGCGAAACGGAGTAAGAAACAGCTGCTACAGACGTGCCTTGCAGATACGCTGTAACGCCTCATGTGAGAATGCCGCTCTCACCTGGCCATTCCACGGGAGCGCGGCTGCTTACCTTGTAGCTGCTGAGGTTCTCGGTGACGCAGACCAGCGTGGCTCTGCGCCCCACAGTAGCCGTACATTTTTTCACCGGCTCGCCGAACGAGGGCAGCCTTTCTGCAAGAGATGGTCCTAATTCTATGAAAGTTTACGTCGCAATCCAGGTCGGCTGTGCGGGTTTTGGGACGGAGGTGGAGCTTTCTGAACATTGCAGCACAGATAGGCTTTTTGGGTCTGGTCGCGGCGACGTCCGACGAGCACCGTGACGACCGCGGGGATGGTGCCGCGCACATTGACATGAAAAACCGACGAATGGCCGCTTGCGTGGGCTGATCTGCAAATAACCGAGCTAGGATGTAAGGTCTGGCGCGCGAGCCTGCTGACTTATGTGCCACTCAAACCTAAGTTGGTTTTACCGTTTTACCCGTCCATCATATTTATTGAGCTTACGTTCAGAAAGCGGCCGCTGCTCGACCACTCATCGCTCGTTGAGCTTTGATAAGTACCAATGCCACATGAAAACAACCTGACTTTCACAATGTCACCTACCCGGATTTATGTTCTGTCGTTAAGTTTAATAGCTATTTCAACCGGCTCTATACCTTGGCGGCATATTGACATTTCAGCACCCAAGCCTTTGTGAAGCAGTACAAAATAATGAGGGAACACGCTAAGTACCCTCCAATACCAGAGGCGGTTTGAATGAAATGCTCGCTTATGTGGTCTACTGTTTGGACAAAGGGTTATGGGTGACATGTTAATGACATCGCTATTTTCCACAATTCTCTTCATAATATCAACAAATAATAAGGCGAGGGTCTTTTGCATAACCAATGATCTTCGTAGTTGCACCAACTCTCGTTTAAATTGTTGCACGCACTGAATCTTCCCCACCGGATTTCGTTGCCCAAAGAGTGTCATCCGCACGGTAGCCTGCTGGATTAAGGTTTCTCCATTTGGATGGAATCCCAGGAAGAAACATCTGAGAGTCTGAAACGTTTTATTTCTCAGATAAAGGGCTTTCATACCACGAAAAACTATGTTCTTCACGGTGCCCGATTTCGCACTTGGACGGTTTCCTTTTTCAAATCTCACCGTCGGCCCACATGATGCTGGAGAGAAAAAACAGGCATCCTAATATGCCCCGGGCAGCTGAAACAGCTGTTTAGCGGCCGCGTCGGGGCGGGCTCGCGGTTGAGTTTGCGCCCCACAGCAAGCTCCCCGCCTCCCCTGGGCCCGTATCATAATAAATTGGGCAAATCAGCTGTAATCTACGACCGGCGGAAAGATTTTGTGGCGGCGACAAAAAAAAAAGCT